ATATATATATATATATTTAAATGATATAAAAAAATACTAAAACTCACATAAATCACTCTTAAATTATCCAATTTGTCTTAATATATCCTAAAAAAATAGGATGAGTCATTGATGATTTTTGGACAAATAATAAATTATTTGATAAAAAATCAAACAATAATAAGGGTAATATCATGCATGCTCCTTCCAATGAAAAAAAAGGAATGATAGCAAGGTAATCATATCATGATTTTTTTTTTCTTCTAATAAATATTATTTTTATTTTGTGACTAATGAAAAATAAATTTTATATAAGCAAAATTCAATGGTTTGACCTTAACAACATTTTATTTTCTCTAAGCTAAGGAAGCTCTCTGAAATATTTATTCCTTGGGTAAAGATCATAACTCATCATCCCCTCAAATCAAGCAATGACATTAGAGAGGAGCGACCACGAACTACAAAAAAAAAAAAAAAAAAAAAAAACATTTATTTGGATTTAAATTCTTATTTTATAAAATTGCCGCATCAATTTACTAATTCAGATAATTTTGTTGGTTGATGTGGTAAAATCATTGACAAAATCATCGAGTTTTGTCTACTCAGAAAATTTTATTTTTGAAGGGTGAATTTAAAATAATATTTTTTTAAGAAAATATTAGTTTAAAATTTTTGCCTATTTATATTTTAGTGCTCTAATATCAATAAGAATTTATCATGATACAAAATTAATATATATTTTTCCTTCCAATTTGAAGTTTTGTTTCTTATGAGATATTATGTTTTCTATTCTCAGAGGGGTTATTATGATTGACTTGAACGATAAAATTTAGGTCAAATTTGCTTTAATCTGAACATATTTTTAACTCATTAAATTTATTTTAATACATAAATAAAATAAATTTTATTTTACTATATTTTTATTGTTCATTTAAAAAAAAATTTATCTTTATTTTGATCAAATTTAAGTCAAGGAGACTCGAGTTTCCGCGAAGCATGAAGGTGGGTTTATTTATTTATTTATTTATTTATTTATTTATTTATATTTGTGGTTAAAAGAAATCTTTAATATCCCCCGCGGTCCTCTATAAGAAGTCCGAAGTCGCGCAGCTTCCATCGGCCTGCGCTGCCAAGAAATTGAGACTTGAGAGCATAGGCGTGTAGACTTGCCTTTAAAGAGAGCAGTGGAGAGCGATTCTCTCGCCACCAAATCTCTTTCTTCCATGGGTTTTCCTGTGGGCTACTCTGAGCTCCTCCTCCCCAAGCTCCTCCTCCAGCTTGTCTTCTTCCTCGGCTTCTTGCGGCAAATCATCTCGTCGGCCTTTGATGCCGTCGGCCTGGGTGACCTCCTCGACTCCGAGACTCCATGGCCCGATCCACAGCCCCAAATCCCATACCATACCACCGGATGCCAACCCCAGGAGTTCCACTCAGTCTCGGCGATGCTAATACAGGAGATCCTCCCGGTGGTTCGCTTTGAGGACCTTCTCACCGAAGAAGGGGAGATCGATCGGCGGCCAATGGGAGACGGCTGTGCCGTCTGTCTTTATGAGATCGAACCCTGGGAGGAGGTTCGGCGTCTAAGCAACTGCCGACATGTATTTCATCGCTGCTGCCTCGATCGGTGGATGCAGCACGATCATCGAACCTGCCCTCTCTGCCGGACCCCCCTCATCCCAGAGGAGATGCAGGAAGCCTTCAATCTCCGGTTATGGGCTGCTGCCGGCATTCCAGACTCCGATTCCGGTGATTTCCCTTCACCTTCATCGGCCTCCTCGTTTCCGCCTCTTTCGCCCGCTCTTCTTTAGCCAGCGGCGCGATGAAGAAAATGGTACGATCTACCAGTTTAAGATCTTTAACTGTAAATAGATCCATGGGAGGCAAAAATTAAATACAGTTAAAGTAGAAAAATCTTAAAGGAATTTTGAAATTTAGTTCGCAAGTTTCTAATTCCTTCTGTACAGTTCCGATTTAATCAACCTCCGGGTCAGAACTTATAAGCTTTTTTCTGCTTTGAGTTAACGACTGAAAAAGGATTGATGATCTTAACTAAAAGATGCGAGTAAATTTGAATGTAAAATTGGATCCATGAAGGGTCTGTCTTCTCATGATTTGGTGAGAAACCTATGCCAAAAAAGGAGAGTGTTCGGTACAGCTTTTGTTATTCAAGGATTTTTCTTACCTTATTTTTCTTGCTTTTGACTGGGGTGTTTTGTCTGTGATTAAAGTAATGTTGTTTGGTGTTTGAGTTTTTCAAAGTTTCTTCTGACCGGTTCCACCGGGGACGAAGAGTCTAAGCAGTGCTTTCTTAAGTTGTTTTCCATGTTTGATACCTTGTTATGCTGTCCTGCACTCGAAAATGTGGGGAAGGTAAACTAGACTGTTCCTAGTAGGCTCTGAAAAAATTGCCATGGTTTCATAGGAGCATCTCATTAAATTTTCTGTCATACATTTGGTATTTAAAAATTAAATTACGCCAAAATTTAATTAAAAATTTGATTTTTATTACAATCTTCTTTTTTTAAAAAAATATATAATATATTTATATATAAAAAATTATATTTTTTGTTGGAATAAAAAAATAATTTTATAATTGTACCATCTGCACATGGTGGGTGGGAATCACCATACAAGTATAATGGGCCCACCATGTGTATTTAGACTGTTCAAAGCTGAATCGGATTAGCGTTAACCGAAAAATAAAATAAATACATAGGTTCAGCCCTACATTGAATCAATGAAGGAGGTGGTTCAAGATTTAATGATTTAACCAGATGAAATCATAAAAATATTAAAAAATATAATAAATAAAATTTAAATGACATAAAAATTAGATGGAATTTATTATACAAGATGAGAAAGAAATAAATATAACTAAGCAAATATAAAGGCATAAAAAAGAAAAAAATAATGGACTAGTAGTCATGAATATTTCATAAAAAGGTAAAGAAGAAAATGAAGCTGAGAATGATTTGAGCAAGATATGTTGTTTTATGATATCAAAAGATTCAAACAATTCTTCATGATTTTTAATAAAAATATGGCAAAAAATAAAAATTTACATTTTTAGTGGTTTGATACATTTGGCAATCTGTTCCATCAGGTTGATCAGTTCAACTGTCGGTTCCAGCCAATTCTTTCTGGCTTGGCGCGAATCCGGTTTTCAGCCAAACCAGAACTGGACTAACAGACAGTTCACGGTCGAATTGGTTGAACTGGCTGGTTCGATATGGTTTTTTAAACGTAGAAAAATAATGTATGTGCAGTGTGACCCAATTGACATCATCAATTATTTTTAACATTTAGCTCAAATTAATGCAATTTCTTACTCTAAAAATCAGGTGAATTTCACTATCATAAATTAGAGCTATAGGCTGCACATTATGATGACGGCTTTTAAAAACCACAAATTTTGTTCTATTTTAATATAAATAGTAGTTTAAACTATCATTAGAATAACGCTTAACATCAATTTAAACTGCTACGAACAGCAGTGGTTCACACTGTAATTTCAATATTCTGAGACGCTCAAACACGCTGCCAAAATAGTGCAACTCAAATAATCTTATAGCAGTTTCAAAATCACAAACATTTTTGCTATGCTTCAATGCTTGTTCGAATTTAACACAAAATAATTTCTATTCTTACATGTTTATCAAATAAAATCTTTGAAAAGACAAATGAGCTTTCAGAGCTCCCAAGTTTTAGGTAATTGGGGTGATAACTAGTTGCCCATTCTCAGTATAGGATAGAATCATTCAGAAAGGGTCATAATGTAATTTCTTAGGTATAATCTTGATGTGTCATCAATAAAATTTTATTATGAAGTAAAAATCTCGGTGCATTTTTAATAAGACAACTTCTAAATTCCATTCAAATTCATTTTCATCCAAAGTTTGGTTCTGGCAAGTTTATAGTCAAATTGATTGTCTGGACAAGATGAACCTAATTATACCTAAACTGATTCAGTTCGGGTCTAATCGGACCCATATCAAGCTAGTGAAACACATATAGAGGTTTAGGAGCATCAATTGAAAAGTCAAATAAACTCTAAATGAAAAGTCAAATAAACTCTAAATGTAGCATATTATTGTCAAATCGAGCGTCTTGATAAGAGGAATTTATCGAGCCTAAGATTGATGAATTATGAGGTCATGAAGACACATAAATCATTAAAAAAATCATCTAGAATCAAGGGGGATCAACATGGACAATCCGGCCTGGTGGTTAGGGAAATCACGCATCAAAGACCAAAAGACCCGTTCCCAATGGCCAAGAAATAAGGCTCTTCTCTTAACTTGGAAAAAGAAAAAAAAAAAAAAGAGGAATTCCAGAGTCTAATATAGAAAGAAGATCTAGTGATAGCCACCGACCTCCGCAGCCGCTTACCACCGTCAATCAACGTCTGTAGGCCACTATTAAACATCGTTGGCCATCACCGCTTGTCGCCGCCGATCACCGGTGGTCATCACATTTGTTTGCAGCCATTGTATTTCAAATACAGTTGTTGTGTCTGACACATGTATTGAAGACCATGTGAATAACCACCAGCCACCAACCAGTGTCGACCACCGCATGCCAGCCACTGACAATCATCATTGGTCGTCACTGCTTGTTGTCCACCATAAGTCTCTGGTGATCCTTGCTTGCAACAGTTGTGGTCTAAATATGACCATTGTGTTGTATAAGACATGCAATTATTGATATAAATTTGTTACCCCGGTCTTTATGTTGCGAGAGATGGCACGCTCATGAACTTACAAATGCATAGTCGATTGCTTTGATAGGGTTAGAACCCATGATTTTTCACTTTTCTTAGTTTTTCAATGTAAAAAAAAATTAGAATGTAAAAAAAAAATTAATGCCTCCAACATATATTTTTTCTATTGTCCGTGCATGTTTTAGATTATTAGTTTGCCTCTAGTGTTATTTTATGTAGTCATTCAAATGAGAGAGTGAAGTGTAGCATGTTAGGTGGTGTCTAAGAGTGATTTAGAGAGATTATCGAGTTGAAAAGATATTTTTTCACATCATTTATCTCATCTCATTATCTCATTTTACCAAAATTCATCTCATTTTACCAAAATTTCATTGTAGTGGAAAATATGTTTTTTCACATAAGAAATTTTCATCACATAAATATAATTATATAGTTTAATAGTTTAATAGTTTAACAGTTTAGTTGTTATTGTTTAAATTTTGCACTTCATTTTTGCTAGTAGTTAAATAATTTATTTCTGAAATTAGTGAAGTATATTCGTTTTACTTTCTTTGAATTTCCTAGTTAATTTATCATTTTAAATTTAAACCTTCTCCGTGGGATCGATATTTTGGGTTTAAATAGAAAGTCATTTTTTACTTGATAACGATACATATATTTGCATAGAATCCTAACATGAATTGCTTAAATTTCTTATTCATAAATTATTGCATCAAGCTTTTGGCACTGTTGCATAGCGAAGTCAACCTTATATATTTTGCACATCTATATTTTCGGGGATCAATGTACTATATCTTGAACTGAAAATCTTTAATTTCCCAAAAAACCAAGCATCATTTGTTCATCAACCATTATGATATGAAGATGGATAGGGAACTTCTGTAGTTATCTTCAACCCTCATCAAGTCCCCAGTCATTTTTCACAAATAATAATTTGACAAACCAATTCCTTAATGGATCATTTGTGTGAAGATCAAATACCTTGCCTCTGAAAGATATACGACCATGCACATAATTATTGAACTTGTTTATTCTGGCTGAAACCCATGATGTTAGTTTAACCACCCATTTCCTAAAAAAGACAATTAAACCAACAATGACCGCCATAGCTTGATAAGAAAATTGAGAAACACTAACCTTGATCACTGCTAGAACATCCTTCAACTCAAACACAGGCGAAAAATAAAGACCAAAATGCAGATTCACCTCGTAAATCATGACATCCCTAATGGAGGCAATCATGCTCAATCAGAGGGATGCGACAACTTAAACACCATGTAATTCAAAAAGTGAAATCTTAAAAAAAATTAAAAATCAAAACTTCATTGGTAGGTGTCGATTACGCCTTGTCAGGATTCTGTTACTTTTTTTGGCCTACTAGGGGTCAAGAATTTCTAGACATGAATCTAAAAAGAAAATTAAGCATGAAAAAATCTTCTTAGAGGAAACAATAACATAAAAAATGAGGTAAAAATAACCCAAGAAAGGGGATAATAACAATCCAAGGAATAAAACAACAAAATCCTAAGAAAGGAGAAAATAACCTATGAAAGAAGGCAATGATAGGTTGAGAAAGAAGGTAATGATAGGTTGAGAAAGAAGGCAACAACAGCCTGAAGAAAGAGGCAACAAAAATCCATGTCATAAAAAGCAACAACAGCGTTAATTGGGAGGTGGAAAAAGCATAAAGAAGGAGTCAAAACTAGTCTGAGGAAGGAGGCAACATCAGCCTAAAGATGGTGGCGACAACTACTTAAAGAAAGAGGCAACAATAGCCCAAGTAAGGAGGCAACCAAAAACTAGGAGGAATGCAATATCAGCCTAAAGGAAAATTTAAGAGAGGGATGAGTGGTGTGCTTTCCCTCCTCTTTAAAGGGACTATTTTTAAGCAAAAAAATTTTGGAAAAATCCACAAAAAAATCTTTTTTTTTTTTTTGGTTTCGCCTTGCAAATGAACCCACAGACAAGCACATTCGCTCAATCGAATACCTAATATGTAGAAATGGGTCCGCCAACTTACCGACACATTCACCCACTCTACAAGTCCATGTCGCTCTACTTTCTCACTTACCCGGTTTGTGTCTATTCTAAAAAGAAGACTCAGCGATAACCACCTGCCTCCATAACTGTCGACCACCATTTGTCGGCCAACATCAACCATTGTTTGCCGCTGTCGACCACCGCCCCCTGCAACACTTGTATGCAACCATTGTAATTCAAATAAGGATGTTATGCCCAACCCTTGTATTGAGCACTCGACGAATAACCACCAGCCTATGTAGCCGCCAATCATAATCCAATACTACCTCAACCACCGACAACAACCATCAGTCGTCCTATCGCTCCATCGTTCTCTAGGAAGTCCAATTATATTTATCGAGTTGTATAATGATAAGTGTAATTTTCAACTTAATTTTATAAGCTCGATATTCCTATTGTGAGAGCAGGGTGCATCATCTACTCATAAATAAATACATAGTGGATTATTTTGATTGAGCTAAGCCCATAATTTTTTCTCTTTTAAATATTTTTCTATTTAAAAATCTTGATATATATTCATAATCTTTTATTATCTATATATGAGTTGAATCATTGTACAATAG